TTTTAGAGGTTGTAAGAGTCCATACGTGTCACTGTCTTATTGGGTTAAAATGTGAGAAAACAATTTTTTTTCTTTCCATGTTTGTTTCGAAGCTCGACTCTCTCTTCTCTCTTGTTTCATCCGATGGCGAAAGCAGATGAGATATGTCTCGATCATCATCATCCAAAGATCGGAAGAGAAAAGCCAAGCAACTCGTCTCTCATCCGCTGTGATCATCATCTCAACCGACGGTGCTCACCATCTTATTGATTGTAGAAATTGATTGCAATCTATATCCCGTCCTTTAATCATCTATTGATTGTAGAAATTGATTGGTTTCTTATGCTAATTGGTCTCTCACTTATATCTCTCATAGATTAAATCATTGACCAGTATTTCGTATGATTGAAATTGAAAGTCTGCACATTGATTTTAGGGGTTTTGTTTGATTTGATGATTTATATGGTGGAAAAAGAGAAGACTTTTTAATGGATGAGAAAATAGAGAGACTGATATTGGTTTTACTTTACTTTTGATGTAGCTGTTGATCTTATGTCTTCTAAAGTATGTGGCATTGGACTATTGAACATCAAAGCACAACATTTGTTTTACCCTTTTGAGAGAGATAAATTCAGATGTCGTTATGATATTTTGCAGCAATATCTCTCTTTTTTCTTTTCAAAGTAGAGCAATTTACTAATTCCATTGTATATCGTATTCACAGGTAGAGTATAAAGAAAACATAATGGGTCAAACACGATATGTTTTTGTTTACTAATTCCATTGTTTACTGTTCTGAATCGCGTTGTGTTTCGGATTGCAATATGTTTTTGTTTGTCCAGGTGAATGAGACTTATGATTGCTGGTACACATTAGGGATCCCAAAGATAAAGCTTTATCGGAATAGCTTTTTCGGTTGCCAAGCAAATGATCTTTCTTTCACAGACATTGTTAAGCAATACTCTAATGTGTAAGTTCTTATCTTTTCTCTCATTTTATACATTTTTCATCATAACTAAGCACATACATACTACAGGAGAATCATGTAGAAAAATCATAATAGCCATGATAATTAGTAATAGCACAACGATTGTGGTGTTTGTTTAGTTTGTCAATCATGTCTTGTCTGGGCGCTGTTATTCACCGAATTGATCCTCTTTCATTGGTTCTTTTTTCTCCAGAATCTCTTAACTTTTACAGTCATGGCTTAATGGAGAAGCAACACCAAAGTACTGGAAAGATGATGTGATCGCTGGCATTGTCTCTGGCTTCGCAACTTCCATAATCACAGTCTTCATCGTACGGATCTTACGACATGTAAAATCTTGGTTCCCTCGAGCTTGTTGTTCAGTAAAGAGCCAGTTTTCTAAGGTGAATCTCTTGGTACAAGTGAAGCGGTGCATGCTTGCTTCTTGTTTATTTCTCGGTTCTCGGATGAATGGCGATACAATACTTGATGGATTAGAAGAAGCTACATTGTTTGGTTCCTAGGTTTCATCTTCTTGATCAGCTTGCTTCTGTGTCGTCAGTGTCCTGTTAGCTAAGTAGATACTTTTGATGGATTAGAAGAAGCTACATTGTTTGGTTCCTAGGTTTCATCTTCTTGATCAGCTTGCTTCTGTGTCTTCAGTGTCCTGAAGATGAGAAAGAACAAATTTTTTTTTTTTTTTTTTAAGAAATCCACTTAAGGACTCTACCATTGGACAAATAAAATTTTAAGGATTTATCACAAACTCTTAACTTTAAAATTGTCATAATATATAATTAAAATATGTTTAAAAATCCTTTTAAGGATTCAACCATTGTTGTTGCTCTTAAAAATAATAATACAATTACTACAAGTCGTGCCTTCGTTGGTAAAAATTCAAAAATATCTCGCAAGTGTTATTATTAGTTATTACTCGTCTAGAAAATAACTCCAAAGTAAACTCTATATAAATCCTCGTTTCTAACCCATAACACACACAACACTTAAAAAAGCTCAAAGACAACTAAGATTAAAAAAATGAAGATGTTTAACTCTCCTCAAACCCTAGTACTATTGGCGTTAGCTCTTGTCCTAGCTTTTGCAGTTCCACTGAAAGCCCAAGACGGGCCAAAAGACTACCTCGCTGTACACAACCGTGCTCGAGACCACGTTGGTGTGCCTCATATAAAATGGCATGCGGGGGCGGCGCGATACGCCTGGAACTATGCTCAAATAAGAAAGCGGGACTGTCGTCTCAAACACTCAAACTCACGCGGGCGGTACGGTGAAAACTTGGCATGGAGCAGTGGTGATATGTCCGGAGCTGCCGCAGTGAGATTGTGGGTCAAAGAGAAGTCTGACTACTTCCACAAATCGAACACATGTCGTGCTGGAAAACAATGTGGTCATTATACTCAGGTTGTGTGGAAAAACTCGGAGTGGGTTGGGTGTGCCAAAGTCAAGTGTGACAATGGTGGAACCTTTGTGACTTGCAACTATTTTCCTCCTGGTAATATTAGGGGCCGTTGGCCTTACTAAGTGTATGTGTACGCTGACGAATAAAACTTGTCCACAGTGTGTGTTTCTATAATTTCAATAAATGAATATCACCATCTATCTGGATGTGGTGGTCCCTTTGTATGTTTATGGTTTGTATAATATCTTGTGATGGAGTAATACATTTTTCGTGTGCTTAAAATTGTAATTAATAATAATGTGAGTTATTACTATTTCCCTTATTATGGGATAGTGGGCTAGCTTAGATCCTATATACCATGGGGGTTTTAACTTAATTTTCAACGAGTCTCATGCCATTCAGATTAAATTTTCAGATAGAGTGGATGAAACACCGGATATATTTGTAAACCATCAACAATAGCTAACTATGATTGAAACAGCGAATAAGAAGGCACGAACCGTGATCTCTTATTTACATGATGAATTTTAACCACTAGACCAACATAAATTGTTTTTTCATACCACCAGGTTTAGGGGTTCAATCATAGTCTTCTTGTAGTATATGTTATTACGTTAACTTTATGATCAGAGATGGCTAAAATTCAGAAACATTTGAAAAGTATATCTTTGATATATATATATATATATATATATATATATATATATATATTTTAACTCGTGACGAATTTGTGTCAAAGTGATCTTCGCATATGTGATGAAGAAAATTATATTTTTGGTTCAAGTGGTGTTTGAAATGTCAGAAATTGGCATTCAAAACAATCCCAACCCAGTTTGTATCATAAGAGCATCTTCAACGAAGGTTTCTCAAAGAATGTCTAAAGAATTAAAAAAAATATATAATTAAAAGTAATAGAGAGAATGAGACACAGTGTCTCATTTGAGAAACTTTGAGACACTATGTCTAACACTTGGCATCATTTGATTGGTTAAAGTTTTTTTTATTAATTAAAATTTAAATAAATAATTTAGTTATTACAAAATCATTAAATTATTATATTTGAGAAACTTTTATAGTTTTCCCCGTTGGATGCTCTAACAAAAGAAAAAAACAAATAGTGAAACGAGAAAGCTAGCAGATATTTTGCGTGTTGAAACATATGAGATATAATGATATATTGATGCAGACACAGAGAATAGCAGCAATAAACTATTAAGCATGAATAGTTAAAGAGAATTGAGATTCGAAACTTATCTTCAATTTGAGCTACTTTATTTCCAAATGACATCCAATAAACGACAGTTCCTTCTGTTGAGATTATGGAGTACCGTTTTAGAGAATTTGAAAGTTTCTGCGTCTAGTCAACAACGTACACAAGTACCACAACGTGTAAATGTCTGCGTTATTTATTTCTACATTCGAAAAATACTCCATATTGTAAATAATTAATGGAAACTATATATAAATTATATATAGAAGTGAAACCTAAAATATTATAACTATATTTTAAAAATTAAATACGCATGATATCAAGTATCGAATCTCTAAGTCCTTCAACTAACGAAAACTATATAATAGTAGATTGTTTGAATCACTCTGTTGATAATATATAGCCATCTTGCAAAAAGAAAGACAAAAGTTAATATAAACGGCCATCATCACAAATTCGATTAAAACAAAAATATTTCGTGGTGGCTATATATATATTATCTAGATTGTTTAGCCATCCTAGGTCGAAAATAAACAAAAGTCAGCGATGTGAAACTCCAACTACTCTGCATCTTATGGAAAAGTTTCCTCGTTTCTCTTTAAGCCAAGTATATATAAATTAAAAATCGAATGATCGACATATGATATGATATCGTTTTTACGTATGTCATCGATTTTTTTTACCTCCTTCCTAACTTATTAGTCTCGCCTTCTATCCACACATAGTTATCTCACCATTAACATTTTAAACATAAAAATATACCATCGACAACAATTAGACGGATCATAAGTTATATGGATGATGATGATCCAATCCATGATAAACACGTACGAACATGGTAATATCTACAACTACTACGTACATATGTCAGGATCTCCAAAAACTCTATCTATAATCTGAATTATTCTTTACTAATTAAGTTGCATACATAACCGATATGAGAATGCAATTCATCATATATCAGAATTTCACTAGTCATGCAAGTCAAATAATATGGCGTGTAGCTAAGAAATAATTACACTTAATCAAATGGCCTACTATATTAGACTAAAGACGCATACGTTTCTACTCCCTTTGTTTCTAGAGATTTCACATTTCTTAAGAAACAATAATTGTTTAATTATTTACTTTTATTAAATATTTTTTAATAACTATGAATCAATAGTAATCTGAACCAGTTAATCATTACGTCTTAAAATCTACGATTTATTAAAATCAATTAATTAGAAATAAAAAAAAAAAAATTAGAAAATCAATATTTGTGAAACAAACTCAAAACACTAGAACATCCAACTTCAATGAACAGAGGGAATATTAATTTGTAAGTTAAATTATTATTATTTTTTGTGGAAAGCAAATTAACATTATAAAAATTACAAGTGATTCTTTCGAAAATATAAAACGTTCAACAAGTATTGGTACAAAACTACTATATAACGTATTCAATCCTCACTTCTAAAACCCACAAAAACTTTAAAGTTCTAAACGTCAAAAACGAAAAAAAAAGATGAAAATCTTTAACTCATCTCAAAACCTATTCGTGGCCATAACCTTTTTCCTTGTTCTCATAGTTCATCTAAAAGCCCAAGACAGTCCTCAAGATTTTTTGGCAGCTCACAACCGAGCACGAGCTGAGGTTGGGGTGGGTCCCTTAAGATGGGACGAGAAGGTGGCTGCTTATGCCCGTAGCTATGCGAACCAGCGTAAAGGTGACTGCGCTATGAAACACTCTAGCGGACCCTATGGAGAGAACATCGCTTGGAGCAGCGGTAGCATGACAGGCGTTGCAGCCGTTAACATGTGGGTGGACGAGCAATTTGACTACGATTATAATTCCAACACATGTGCTTGGAACAAACAGTGTGGCCACTATACTCAGGTTGTGTGGAGAAACACGGCGAGGCTAGGATGTGCAAAAGTCAAATGCAACAATGGTCAAACCTTTATCACTTGCAACTACGATCCTCCCGGTAACTGGGTTGGCGAGTGGCCTTACTAAAAAAACCTCCATTGTAATGTTTTTGAATATATGTTTATACACATGAATGTATTGTTTCCATGTTGTTCAGTTATACCAATCATATATATATCGTCAGCTAATAAAGATTGGTTTGTCCGGTCCGGTCCTCTTTTGTACCATATGTATTACGTGGATTTTTATGATGGAATAATAAAAATGCAATGCTACGGCTTGCACTTGCTTTGTTTGCTATATCAAAATCTCCTCTCCTTTTATATACGTACACATGAATGCATGATTAAATTAATCCCATATATATAGGTTTTTGTTTTTTGCATATCAAATTTTTGTATCTACTGTGTACTTCCAAAAGAAAAAAACATATGTACCAGATCTCCTTTTACCAATAATCTCTTCTAAATTGTTAGGTTACGAACAAAAAAAAGTCAAACGAAAATGCCATCTTTTTCTTCCGTTTGCATTTTCGGGTTCAATATTAAATTAAAATATCAATTTACTTAAGAAATTTTGTAGACGTGTGTAAATTCAATTAAAAATTAAATAATATTAATATATAAAAATGTAAACACAATCTGAAAAATCAAACGAGAAATTGTTTAATTAAAATAATCAAACTTTTAGTTTTTCATCTTCATATGGATTAACAAAAAAATGTTCCAATTATTAGAGAACTACTCTCTCTCAAGCGATATCTCCATTAAGGAACAGAAAATTCGAAGCCGATTCGTTTCTTACGAGAACAGAGACTAATTGTTAGCGCAAAATACAATTTTGTGGAGTTCTCTGATATTGTTTCCACCCCTTTTTAGTCTCTTTGATATTATTGTATAGTATTCAGACAGTGACTCATTCGGAAGATAAGCTATAGATGAATTATGTGAATTGTAAAACAACGTTAACTACCACACGGAAAAGACTTTAATTTGCTATAATAATATTTTCACATCGACATCGTCTGAGAGTGCTTAGGTCATCCGTCTGAGAGTGCTTAGATCATCCGTCTGCTTGTGCAAGGAGGCTGCGCACTATACGTTGAGTCGTTGACTACTGTAATATTAAAGTTTAAACACATTTGTGATTGAATATAAGAGAATATGCCAAGGGTTTTTAATCCGTTAGCTACATTATTTTTGAAAATGATTTTACACCAACCATAATTTTGATTTGGATACTTTGGCTATAGCCAACGATTTCAACTTTTTAAACCAATCGAAATTCCGAATCAAAAGATATAGCATATTTTAAGATTTCTTTTAAAAATATTAGAGAGATCATGAGCCGTCTTTCATGTGTTACTAACAAAGTGTTAGATAAGAGTTTCTATATTAAGAGTTAACAGAACATCATGGAGACGAAAATTGATATTTTTTTTCCTCACCATGTAGGGTTGATTAGCTCCGTTACCACCTAAATAGTCCAGAGAAAATTAAGATTGAACCAAAAATATTATTTCATAGCTATCGGAGACCTAAGCGATGACTGGTTAACTCCATTACATTTCTTTATTAATCGGGTGAACGAAAAAAAAAATACCAGTCCCATATTTAAAAATAATATCTACCAATCCATAGCCGAAACCAATAGTTTTAAAGATATTATTCCACCACCCTTAGCCGACAGAGATACTCATCACTATCAGCTCTACAATCATGCCACCTTTTTTTTTGCACACCTACAAGGCTACAACCCTAATAACGTGCGTACATCATTTGACAATGTTTGGAAACTTTTAAGTATAGTTTAGTTTCTGATCAGGTTTACTTCAAAACGTGACACCAACTAGGCCATATACTATCTAATATATGTACATTCTATATAAACATCTTAAACATTCTACAAGTATCCATCAAAAACACAAGAAAGTCATCTCACGCTATATTTATACATTTTAGAAAAATGTTTCATAAGGTTGCTATTGAAACCTTGGTTCTCCTACTTCTCATCAATTACTTGACACAAATCGATGTTTCTTCCGCACAATACTCTCAGTATCCTCAGTCCCATGAATCTCCTGACAGCTACCTTAGACCCCATAACGCAGCCCGAGCCGCGGTCAAAGTCAGGCCTCTAAGATGGGACTTCGGTATAGCCACTGTGGCTCAGGACTACGCAAACCAACTAGCCGCCGGTTCCTGCAGTCTTGAACATTCCTCTGGACCATATGGAGAGAATCTTGCATTTGGCAGTGGAGACATGTCGGCGGCTCAGGCGGTTGCAATGTGGGTAGATGAGAAGTCGTACTATGATTTTTACTCAAACTCGTGCCACGGACCGGCTTGTGGACACTACACACAGGTCGTGTGGCGTGGCTCAGCTCGGCTCGGTTGTGGTAAGGCTAAGTGTAATAGTGGTGCAAGTATTGTCGTCTGTAACTATGACCCTGCAGGCAATTATATTGGTACTAAACCATATTGATTTCAATTCAATTGATGAATGTGTGTAAAAATTGTTGTATTGATTACTTTTTTTTTTTCATTTGAGAATTCAGTACATGATAAAACATGACGTTAAAAGTTGTATAATTACAAAAATGTTAAGGGACTTTCCTTTTTGAGCGCATAACCAAGGATCACGGTTCACGGAGAAGGGACTTTCCATAATGAATCTGGTTTTACTGTGGTTAAGCGCTAAAAACAGATATTAGTACATTTGATCTCATCATGCTGGTTTCATGGAGATTTAGAGAACAGCTCATATTTTTTTTATTTTTTTTTTGAATAACCACGAGTCTCCCAAAGATTTCCTAGGTCCAAGGACTAATCCCACGAGGCTGGCAATTCCCCTATGTAAACCTGCCAGTGACCGTGCCTCGAACCCTGGTGGCGGAAGTCACAGCTGTGACCCCTTTACCACTAGGCTACAAGGCCCGGTTGAGCTCATATTTTCTTCAATGTCTCTTTTTTAAGCTTAAATGTTGAAAGTTAAAAGCGAATTTAAACTTAACTCAACTTTGAAATTTGAAATCCTTCATGTTGGGAAAAACATACTTATGCCATTAATTTTATTGTATAAAACCCTGGACCTACCTCTTTAAAGCATATTGCATACCTGCTACATTCTTAATTATCGATCGATAGTTTTATTGGTGAATATGCGCAAATTAATTTTATTGTCTAACTAATGAAAACATAATAGTAGATATTAGGTTGTGGTTAAATGGTTTGAAGTAGATCAATTATTTTAATAGAAAAAGTTGATTTTTCATTTTTAAGTTCCAAGGAAAACTTGTAGCTGTGGATAACATAAAGGAAGTGTTTTATTTTCATTTGAACCATTGTAAAATCCAATGAATATAATAGTTGAAGATTTTCCTAGTCCGAATACTTGGTCTCATTAATTGGAATAAGAAAAGAAAAAAAAAACTGTTGATAAAAGAAATAGCTTGTTGACAGAAAAAAAAAAAAAAAAAAAGAAGAAGAAGAAGAGAACACACAGACGATATATCAAATGTGTACTTGCTCTCGACAATTGTATTTCCTAGACTAATAAAATGGTATTGTCCCCTTCTCTAGTCTACTTTGACCACTTCAAGAATGACTCATACACATTAGGTTACCTATAAAATAAGAGAGCAAGGAAGTGGATTTATTTGTTGATTTTTATTTATTTATTTTTATTTGTTTTCTCACCTTAAGACATAGTAATATATAGGAGGTTGTGTTTCAACTTTCAACCATATATCTACACATAGGAGTTTATTTCATTCTTCTAACTAATTAACTAGACTTATTTTAGTTTCTATTTTTCTTATTTTCATGATTTTATAAGTTATGAAATTGAACAATTTGAAGATCATTGAATTATTGCAAATAATATTACATACAATTTTTTTTTTCTCAATAATTGAAATTATTAGAGAATGATTCCCAAAGATAATTAAAAAAAATAATGGAGTAGACAATAGTCATCGGTTCACCATCTTTGCGTTGTCTGGGCCTTACCTCTGTCCTTCACACTCTTTCCTCTGTTCAAAGTTTTTCTCATTTTTGTTGCCTTAACTATAATAAACTAGAATCTCTAAAGAAAGCTTCTCTGTCTTCTTCTCTTAGATAACTCTCTCAAACTCTCAGGTACTATACTCTCTTCCTCACAAAACTCCAAGTTTTGTTTCTTTTGAGTTGTCTCCGAATCCGATTCTTGTCCCTTCTATCTTTTCCTGTAATCTCTTTGTGAATGTTCTTGATTTTGGCTATTTTCAAGAATTGGTTTCTTGATTTGACTCTTTTAGCTGTTTAAAATCGAAGCTTCCGTTGGTGAGTTCCTTTATGCCATGCCCATTCTTCTTCTACTACTTATTCTTCGTTGAATTTGTCTTCAAGATTTGGGGGTTTTAGTGTCTCAGTCTCTGTTTGCTGATTAGGGTTCAATTTGTATAGTTTAGTTTTACTTCAACTTAGGTTGCAATTAATTTGATATTTTTCTCTTTTGCATGTCACATCTTCTATTGTTCTTTGTGGTTTTAATGAATTACAAAAATTTGGTTTTTGAGGGGATTGATTGGCTTATTCTATAAAAGCTTGTTTCTTTATTATCACAGGTTAAAAATCTTAGTATGGTTTTTGTATAACAGCTAAGAAGAAGTTTTGTTGAATATGAAGAAATCATCAAGCAGAAGCCAAAGAGGAAGCAAAGGTATTAAAGGGAAGCATGTCCTGCAGATATGTGTTCTGCTTGGAGTTTGCATTTGGTTAATCTATCAAGTGAAGTATTCTCATGATAAGAAGAAGGAATTTTATGAGAAAGATGTCGAGAAATCAACGGTGTTGTTGTCGGAGATTGAAGATGGAGTGGTGAAGCTTGGGAGGAAAGATCTTCTTCCTAAGTATCATAACCAGAAGGAAAACGAGAAGCATGTGGAAGAGGATGAGGATGAAGAAGAGGTTAGCCATGAAGGAGAAGAGAAGGAGAAGAAGAGCAAAGTAGAGAATGGTAATCATGAGGAGGAGGAAGAGAAAGAAGAAGAAGAGGAAGTTGTTGAGGAGGATGAAGAAGATAAGAATAAGCAAGGAGAGGAAGTAGCTGAGGAGGATGAGGATGAGAACAAACATGAGGAAGATGAGATTGATGAACAAGATCAAAATAAAACCGGTGGAGATACTGATAAGGATGATGAAACACTTGAAGAAGAGAAAGAGAGTGGAAGGAGTGACAACGATGAGAAAGAAAAAGAGACTGATCATGCAGATGAGATTGATATGACCGTTGATGAGGCACGCGAGGAGCATTACAAGGCTGATGATGCTTCCAGTGCAGTGTCTCATGAGTCTCGGTTACTTATCACTGAGAAATTGAAAGAAAGTTCAAATGAAACAGCTGAGGACAACAATCCCAATGGCGCTACGAGCGAGGTTGAGATCCAGAAGGAACCTGACTTGAAGTTAGGAGAAGCAGAGAACACCGATTTTGTGAACAAAACAACCACAGAAGTGAAAGATGGTGACAGTGAATCATCCAGTTCTGAAACAAAAAGCGCGGTAACTGAATCGCTAAGTGATACAGTTAATGGCAATTCAACAGTAGCACTTCTTGAAGCGTCAGAGTTTGTGAAGAACGAAACAGAAATCATGCGAGATCGGAGTCAAGAAGATGGTGCACCGCCTGCAGGATTCTCTGAACCACAGCCTGTCTTGGAACTTGAGCAAAACCGTAATGAATCTGATCCCAACATCCCTATTTCTGCAAACATTACCAACAAAGATTTCATTCAAGATGAGTCTAAGAACTCAACTTCAGAATCTTCTCAACTTGAAAACATCGCTGGCTCAAACACGACCGAGGCGAATGAGAATTCAAGGTCTGAGGGTGATGATGAATCAGGCGAAAAGGATAGTTCAAACATTTTCTCCACAGAGCTAACAGAGGAGGCAGATAATACTTCCGAAACCTCGATTTCCCAAGAAGAGATGGATGCTCTCACTGATCCACAAACTCTGCCGGATATAAGAATAGAAGGGAATGGAGAAGATGAAGAGGAAGCACTTGGAGCAGAGAGAAAGAAGCTCTAGTGGAAAAAAAGATAAGTTAAATGTGAAATGTTTTTTATGCTTTTGCAGTTATGTCATTGTAAAAGCTGAAAACAGCAGTCTGTCTCTCTTACTTAGTTTCGCAAATCTGTATATTATTCATTTGGAACTTTGGCTACGGATTGCTTTCACTGCTCTTCAGGAAACTTGACTTCAACACTAAAAGTAGAAGAAGAGCTCAATAGTCAGATAAGTGCCCTGTGATCAACCATGCCAGTTATTAAAGCTGCAGAAACTCAGAAGACATGAATATATAATAAGAACTCGCTTGTTATAGATGCATTTGGAATATTAACTCTATAAATGGTTATTGTGGGTTAATTACACTATGTCAAAAGTGGGAATTTTGAAAATCACTTCTGCAAATATTGTTTCAAAAAGTGACATTGATAACAAATTTCTTTAAAATCAATAACCAATGATGTTAAGAGTAAACAGAAGATACAATTGTTTGTGTTGAGAGCTATTAATTGGTGCGTATGGAGAGATCTTGAAGCTGCTTTGGATCGACTTCCGAGGGAGTCCTAGTTAGGGCACATTGCGCTGTGGTTGTCTTTGGAAAGGCTATTACATCTCTTATGGAATTCGCACCTCCCAGCATCATCACCATTCTGTCCAATCCGTAAGCAATTCCACCTGTAATTTCATATCAAATTCTAATGTTTCATCAACCATGCTTGACCAATCTTGTTTAGCATCATCATCAACAACAAAGTGTCAAAAAAGTTTTTCAGATCCCATTTTGTCTTAAAGATCCTAGGCAGAACCAGTATAGACTCTAGGCAAATACGTTAAGATCATGTATTTATTTTTCGTTAATTGACCTTGGGAACATTTACATACCATGAGGAGGAGCACCCATGTCAAGAGCCTCCAGGAGATAGCCAAACTTTGATTCAGCCTGTTTGTAGGATAAAAAATGAGATAAGGATTATCTGTATATATGATAGAGATGACACTCTGAACAACATGAATAATCCATTTAAATGGATAGTTCTCAAAAAAAAAAAAAGTGATTCTCACCTCTTCAGGTGAGATGCCAATGATCTCCAAAACCTTTTCTTGAACGTCCCGCTTATATATCCTCAGACTTCCTCCACCAATCTGTATACATACGAGTGTATCTCAAAAGTACTCCCAAGCCATTGTGCTAGAGAAAAGAAATGGTTAAGCTGTTGGTTTACCTCGACCCCATTATAGACCATGTCATAAGCGAGAGCTCGTGCAGAAGGCAAGTCATCCATATCTTCAGGTTTTGGAGCTGTGAATGGATGATGTAATGCCTGAAGAGAAATGCCTTTTCATATTAGCGCACACACAACATATTTGGACATTAATCTCATCTCATGCAAGAAGTTAAATTACAAAACGTCATACCTCAAGCCTCTGCTCTGGCTCATTCCACTCGAACATTGGGAAATCTGTCACCCACAGAATTGAGTGCTTGGACTGTATAATATACAAGAAATGGCATAAATCTGATGAACTGTCATCAAGTGGGACAAAAAAAGTGATTGGCCAATAGAGAAACTTACATGGTCAATCAAATCCATGTCATGGGCTACAAAGAGTCTTAACCTATCTAGGGTTTTATTAACCGAAGTAACAGGACCCACTCCAAATAATATAAGATCACCAGGTGCTGCTCCACATTGTTTAACAAAGTTGATTTTACCTGCTGAGTCTAAACTAGAAACTAATGCTGCAATTCCCTCGATCTCGCCTGCATCATTAGGTTAGACCTAATCAGAGCTGAATGTACAAAGAATTATTATATGACTATATTAGAAAAAGAAAAAAAATTCGAAGAGAAAGAAGTAATCTATTTACCATTATCCAAGACCTTCAAGAAAGGCAGACCCTTTGCTCCGGATTTCATTGCTTCATTGTAAATATCTCCTTTTTTGAGAGCTGAGTTTGAATACTTTTTAGCACCCAAAGGCACACATAATACCTTAATGATTCCACCACTTTCAAGGGCCTCCGTGAAAACCCTGAAGGACGATTCTGTGAAAACGTTGGAAACCTGCAATTTCAGAAACTTGAGATTTTAACTTTAATATAGACTTTAGTGCAGAAAATGGGAAACAGCTCTAAAACGCACTTCCTGGTTGAAGAAAAAAACAGCATAAGCAATTATTCCCATAGAGACATATAAATACTTCTTGTAACATTAGCTAAAAACCAAGAAGTAAATAATATTACATCTATCAACTCGAGATCAAATCTTGTATCTGGTCTATCTGAGCCATATCGATCCATCGCATCAGCATATGTAAGCCTTGGGAATGGATCAGGTAGCTGGATACCTTTGATCTCTGAAAAGACCTGCACAAGAAGGTCCAACAATCAAAAAATGCAGACAGGACATTAAACTAATTTAAAGTGAAGAGATCCACACAGAAACTGAGCTTGGAATTCAGGACATGTGGGAATTACTAGAAACATATCAAGAAGCAACAAGTTTGTACAGATATTTCTTGACAACATTGAGCTACTTACGTCATTAGCACAGAAGATACAAAGTCATAAAAATAGTGCAACAGTACTCTAACCTTACGGATAAGATCTTCATTCAGCTTCAGCATGTCCTCCATAGGCATGAAAGCCATTTCCATATCAAGCTGAGTGAATTCAGGCTGCCTATCAGCTCTTAGATCTTCATCTCTAAAACATCTGGTAGGAAAAAAACGCATGAGAGAGAAATCATTTGCATCAGGAGTCCTGCTTTTGGTGGTAAATGAAGGTGATAAGCCATTTATGTCAGGGAGGCTTATGCTGAACCAAGCTTAAGTGCCAAAGATCATATAATTTACCTTGCTATCTGGTAATATTTGTCAAAACCAGAGACCATTAACATCTGTTTGAAAAGCTGCGGACTTTGTGGCAAAGCATAGAATGTTCCTGACTTCGAAAGAAAATTAGATAGAATCAGACCTATAAACTATGATATAAGCTTATACTTCAGGGAAACTTAATTCTCTGATGGGAAATAAATTAGGATGAAAAAAGTAATGGCACCTGAATTCTTGAGGGAACCAGATAATCTCGCGCGCCTTCTGGAGTAGATCTAGAGAGTATTGGAGTTTCAATCTGACATAAACAACAGACCAACATGAAAAACTGGGAAAGGGCCAAAACTGAAAATATACTATAAATTATATACAGAGCCTGTTTCAAATAGAGAAGGACACACCTCAATAAAACCATGTCTGTCTTCTAGGCATCTCCTAATCAACTTCACCACATTATGGCGAAGCACTATATTATTCTTCATTTGCTGACGGCGTAGATCAAGACATCGAAATCTAACATAATACAAGCCAAATCCAACACATGACTTAGCATTTGGAGATTCCATATGATAAACCAACCATGAAAGATCAATCATATATCTAATATTTCACCTTAAGCGAATTTCTTCTTTAATCAAATCTTTGTTCTCGTCTGCAGTAGTAACTAAGAAGGGAAGCTTTGTCCTCACAGGATTCAATATTTCGACATGCTCTGCAACTACCTAATGCAACATACTACACACATCAACTTTCGAGAAAAACCGAAACATATAGGATATATAAAATGCAGCTGAGCTGAATGAGATGGCATACCTCGACGAATCCTGTTTTCATTTTCTTGTTGACGGACTCATTTGGCCTACTACGGACAGTACCTTCCACCAAAACAACGTACTCAAGCCGCATGTCATTGATCAAGCCATGTGCCTCAGGAAACTCATCCGGAAGCGTCCTCACCTAAAATTAGAAAACTTCCAAACATAAACGAATCATATAGTCCCCATATATCCATCTTTGCGTACACAAACTGGGTAAGAAAGAGTTGAAAATGGTCGAATCAAGGATAATCATATAGGACCAAAGAAACAACCACAGATAAACTCAAGTAAAACCCAGGAATGGATTGAATTAAACACTTCTTAATCGTTTCTTATTCAGATTCAATGCCAATCACTGAGTCAAAAGTTCATTGTTGAGAAGAAACTTCTAAATGCTAATCTATTGTAATGAAAAGTGGAAAAGCATTAGGTGAAACCTTAAACCTGGACAATGCCGGTATGATCTCTAAGATTAAGGAAAGTGAGGCCACCATGGACTCGGTGAAGGGCGACCCATCCGCAAAGGCGGACACTTTTACCAACATCATCGACTGATAACTCGCCGCATAGCTCTGTGCGCGATACCCACCGAAGAACCGACGGAGGAGATGGAACCGGCTTCACTACTACATCGCCGGTGGCAGCTGCAACAGGGGAATTGGAGAAGGTTCTTCGGGTTCCAGGAAGTGGGTTTCTCCGTTTGGGTGCGAAGAAGAAATTAGCAGCGTTAGAGGCGGATATGGCGGTGGCGGAGAAGAAACGAGCAGGTCGGAGAGGCAAAGTTCGCAGGAGGAGAGACATTGTTGGGACGAGAATTAGCTAAAGAGAGGAAAGGTTTAAGGGATTGCGTTTTTAGAGACGAAGAAATCAATTTGATCAAACCAGTCAAATTGGTTCGGTTAACATAACGAACCGGTATGGTCAAAAGATAATAATTTCAGTTATTGTTTTGGTCAACTTTGGATGAAGAAACGTTTATTTTATTTAAAACTCAAAATCAGTAAGCAAAACTTGTTCATCTGATACTGCTTCCAAAAGGGAGAGGCTAATTCTGTACAAATCCATAATTAGACATTTATTATTTGTGGCTCATTAAGAACATCTAACAACTGCCTTTCATTTACAAAGTTGTCTCTTCTTATATTTGACTTGCGCCAGATTTTGGAAGAAATCTACAAAGACTTGCTCGTAATCTGGCATCTTTCCGTAACCTGCAAAATCGATTTCAAACATAGAAACGTTCACTTGTCTGCTTCCATGAGAAAACTGCGCAAAAGCTTCAAAAAAAGGGAAAAAACTTGCCAGGAAAATAGTTGATGTCAATAACATAAAACACGTTTTTGCTCCCATGTTCCCTGATCATGTCTATGTTGAAAAGACGAAGTCCCTATTAAAGAAAAGCAATAACAGATTTATATAAAAAACCGAGCTTGCAAGGTAAAATGTGGAGAAAAACAGCTAAAATTTTATACCAATAAGCTTCTTAGCTCTTTCACCAGCGCCTCGAGGAAGGGCTTTGGAGGTAGCTCAGCAACACGAGGGTCCAAATCTGCATTGTCTGCTGAAGCAGCAGCTGATGAAACCCTTGGGAATTGAAAGACGCCATCAACTTTGGCTTTTTCACACTTACTCACATTTGGTAGAGAAAACCGTCTCATGACTTTTATAATATCACCCACCACAAAAACCTTGAACATAACTCCACCTACACGCACCAAAAAAGGATACATTGAATATTTTGAAGACATATACATGGGACAACTGCGTATAGAACTATCTAATTAAACCTAATACCATGATTAACAAACTCTTGAAGGACTAAAGGGGGATCGAGTTCTGCAAGCGACCGCCTGTCATAAGCTAAGTACAATTGATGTGACTTTGCAGTTCCATCGATCCAGAGCGGCTTTGCAACTGAGACAAATTTGAAACAAGTTTGAACCAATTTCAGCCCCGGGTCATGATCATCAATTATACATATAAAGATATTTAATGCCAAGAAAATCTGTTCAATTGTACCTAGTGGAAATTTAAGACCAGCTTCCACAACTTCATCAGCACTAGCTGCTGAATCTTTCAAGACGACCATTTGCTTTGGAACAAAAAGGCTGCCTACAAAGATTTACCAAAGCAAAAATCACTTATAAAGAAACCTAAGAAAAGTCTTAAATTTCAATGTCAAAAGAACTTATTGAGGATTGTTACCACTGCAATCTGACAGTTTCAAATCTGCCATACCCTGAAGCATCGACTGTCGATTATATATACGCTGTATTGATCTTGGAGGATCAAGCACAGTCACTTCTGGATGTTTTTGTTGGTAATCCTACAAAAACGGTGAAACAAACATGAGATTGTATTTGACGACAACATATAATTTCCACAAACAGAAAAACTGTTCCAGCTTAACAGAAGTCTTTCAATTACAAAAGGTTCTCACAATACAAAGACTCATGGGCTAATAATATCAATCCTATTTTAGTTGAATACATTTACACAGTTAAAACTAAGAAACTCAAAACCAGATTGGTTGCAATCTCCAAGCAAGAAACTCAGGAATAGAACCTGAAGTGCACTTAAGAAAGAAATAATCAGTTTATGAAAAACAGTCAGTTTTCCAAACCTCAATAACCTCTTCCCACTCTTTTCCCAGCAACTGCAAGAGAGCAATCATATAATTCATTAGATTTCCAGCAGAAACACATATTCAAGCTCAGAGAATTCTTAGTTCTCTCAAACCTTATGCAAAACGACATCAAATGGTCCTTGTTCAGATAGGGGCCGGTTCAAATCGATGGCGACAAAGAAAATGCCTTTTCTTCTGAAATAGACAGACACAAAAAGTAGTAGTGTTAGCATTTTCTTCAAAACACTGCTGGAAGAAGAAAAAGAATGAAAGCTATGGGTTGATTAGAAAGAAGCAAAACAGAGACCAGACGTCAAACTAAACCCAGTAAGAAATGTTCTCTCTGAGCTATTAGAGACATTCTAGAACATGACATATTAAGTAGAACCAGTGATTGTTTTAACAAAAATACCCATGTGGCTGAAGAAGATTTCCAAGTCACAGAAAAGGCAAAACATCAAGTATTTTATTGTTTAAAAGCCAAAGTCAAACCTCAATCGAGACTAATCCAAAAGGATTATACAAGGAATATTCCCATAGAAACAAAGGTGTTTACAAATATTCCTGATACCACAAGTATACTATACTAGTGTAAGCCTAAGTCTAAGCAAAGGAGTCGACTAAGGACAAAAACATGGCAGATGACAAGACATGGCAAGTGGCAATGGTCCTCAATAAAATCAGGCAAACCAATAATAGGTACCAAAACAAGAGTAAGGAAACAAGAACCAAATCTGGAAGAAAATGTCAAAGTCCTAAAGATCTTTTTGAAAGTAGAAAAGAATTTGTCGGTTACGTTTAAACGCCAACAAAGGAACAGTCGTCTCTCAGGAAAAAAAAGAATGACCAAACAAAGATTATTCAACAAATTTGGAAACTTTGTAGTGAAAAATCAAACTTTACAATCAAGGAAGCATTTTGGGTTTGTTATTGATTACCTAGCAAGAAGTTCAAGCTTGGGCTGCAAGAAACTCTTCTTCTTCTTCGAAGTCAGAGCATACCCAACAACGAGTTTCTGCTGCTGCTGCTGAAGAAACAACGGTTGTTGCAACTGAAACGCCGTCGTTTCGGTGACCACAACATCTTCGTCTTCTTCCTCCTCTTCAGCTTTGAGTGGCACCATGTTTTCCCCTTCAAATCTCATAGCAAAGTCTTCAAATCCACCGCAGGAAAACCCTAAATTGGACGTAATCCCCAAATTACGGCTCAATCTGGCAGTTTCGATTTCGCCGGAAGCAAGTGTCTCGAACATTAATAGAAACGGTGTAAAAAAGAAGAAGCAAAGGGAGAATCTTTGAAGATTCCTCTCAGATTCTATATCCGCTTACACACAAGTGGTGAAATTGACACTGCCTAGAAACGAGATAGAGAACGAGAGCGAGAGAGATAGAGAGAGATAACTATACGTATAGATCAAAACTCGAAGCAAGAAATCAGAGAGGAAAGGAGAAGTGATGAGGAAATGTTTGAGGGAGAGATTGGTCTGGAGATCAAATATTTATAGAGACAAGACAAGAATTGCAGAAAAAAGATGTTATAGTGAAATGGTCGTTCCCAAAGATTTGCTGCTTTTTTTGGTTTTTCCTCTTTTCAGATTATTTATTTATTTTTCTTTCCACAATGTTAATAAATACACTTAAAAGCAGCTATAGTTTCCACGTATTCTCCTCGTTTTTTTAAAAAAAAAATATCTTTTTAATGAAATACACGTACTCTACATCAATACATTGTATTTGATACAAATCTTATTAGAGTATTTTAATACCATCGTGTTTTCGTATCTATTTATAACAACGAATTGGCTAATTATTAAACTAGTGAAGAACAATTTAGTTATGATTTTGTCACGGTACAGTACTTGTAAATTTGTATAGCATGTCTATCAACGAAAATGTAAATAGCAATAAGGTGGTGTGACAAATTTTCCAACTTCGTTCACTTCAAATGCAACAAGATTTGCTTGAAGCATGTTGGCGTTGCAAAAGTTGAAACTATACGATGCTTGGTATAGTTCAACAATTCAGTCTATGCCCCAAATACGTCACCAAATCTTTTTTAGTGGTGAGTTCCTCCTATTCGTGCCTAATGGTCCAAAGAATCCAAATGGACGATGTCTGCCATATAACGAAACCTATTGGAAAAAAAAAAAAAAAAAAAAACTGCGGTCAGCTGTTATTGAATTATCATATTGTTCCTTGCTAATTGGGTGATCCTGAAACTTTATTAACTGCTGAGAAATAATCTTAGAAGCCTTGCGTTGATTTATTTTGTTGTAGGCAGCTCACGTAATTAAGGGAAAAACTATGAATTCTACCACAAAAAGGTGGGACCCTTAACAAAAATACCACATTTGTGTAAACTCGGGAAAACGGTATTTTTCAACCTCAACTATTTGTTGGCGGGTTTTTCCAACCCAAACTATGACCCCCAGTCGATTTCAACCTAAACCTAAAAATAATTCAAAATCGAAACCTGAACTAATGCAAATGAGCCGATTTCAACATGACACGAAACGGTGTTAGTTCGGAAGTTAACGATTGTTCAACCTTAGGTAATTCTCTCTTTGTAGCATTCAACAAATCCTGAAAATAAAATCAAATAACCTTAAAAATCGTAACTATCTGACTAACATGTCTCGCGTCGTG